TTTCCACTTATGGCTGAAATAATCACATTTTATTGCCTTTCTCCTCTCTTTGACACCACTCAAGAATCACCAACTCAACTTTTATTTAAATCAGTCCCGGATAGCTCCACAAAGCGGTGATGGACACCTCCGCGATTGGATTGGAGGGGTGGGGTGTGGAAGGGGTAAGGGGTGCAGGGGTGGTGGTGGGGGTCGTAAGGAGGGAGGGGTCTGCATGAGAGTGATGGCACCCTGGGTATTTTTTTTTTTTTGGTCATGTGTATTTCGGTGGAAATTTCCAGGGGATATTTTAGATGTTAATAGCCCTGAAGTGGTCGCGGTTTCTTATTTAATTTCTCTCGCCTTCTTTTAAAATGTAATTCGCCCACAGACTGCGCCGCGAGGCTCGAAAGCAGGCGCGGGTTAAAAAAAAAAAAAAAAAAAGAAAGTCTCTCATCATTTCCACAGCAGAATGGAAATGCAAATGGGACGCAGGCATATTGATGCCCTTGACACAACTCACCAGTGCACACAATTAAGTTGGTCACCCAATGTGACGTCAAGACGGAACACCACATTTAATATTCTTATTATTACTATATTAATAATAGTATAATAATAATTAGTATTATTGCCCGCGCGTATGTCGTGCTGGCCTCACAAAACACAATTCGGCTTTTCCATTAATTGCACTCATATCGATTTATGAAATGCTCGGCGTGTAATATGAACACTACTACCAATAATAATGATGATGATTAAAACAATGAAAATAAGCAGAATTAGCTTCTGCTTTTTTTTTCTTCACTAAAAAATCCACGTCGAGATTTGGGCGCCTTGTGCAAGTGGGAGGAGAAAAAAAAAAAGAGTGTTGCCAAAGAGGGGCGCTGTCCGTCTATCAGCTCGACAAAAATCGATCCCATCACTCCTCTTGCCTAGAATACATTTTTAACCCTCCCACCCTCCCCGCTGCCCCCCCTCAAAGACAAAAATAATCCATAATTTGTCCTTTTTATGTCTCCTTCTAATGTTTTTTTTTGGTGCGTGTGGAATGGCGATGCTTTCCTTTTAATTGTGAGCGAAATGTGAACGCATTTATTTTAATGAACACACGCACAAAAGGTGTTTTGCAATCACGCCCCAAAAAAAAAATAAAAATGAACTATCGGTGATAAAAATGTGTTGGTGGGGAAACAAACGCGGGAACGTAATTATTAAAATGCACGTTAAAATATAAACACGTGTTTTTTGGGGGGAAAGCAATGTGATGAATCAATGAAAAGATGGGAGTGAAATATGTTGAGAGTGAAAAATGAATTTCAACTCAATAAAAATGTGAAAATGTACATTTCCATGAAAGAAACATGGGGGGGGGGGGGAAATAATCATCAGAAATCAACGCAAATGCAATACAAATATTTCGGGGTGACATATTACGAATGCATGCACGGACTAAATTCAAATGTGTCAACCATAACAAATCAGTTAAAATGTATTCTAATTAAGGAACGCGAGAGAATAATTTAAAATGTGTTTTTTGGGGGGTGGGGAACGATCAAATATTTTTGAACTGAAAGAAACAAGGGGAAACCATTCAAAATGAATGCTTACAAAAAAAAAGCTTTCAAAAAATGTCGAAATAATCCGAATCAACGCATGACAATATTAGAATAGCTTTGAATGAAAGAAACAATCATTTAAGAGAAATCAATCGGAAAATACTTTCCACTCAATGCGCCACCCATCCCCAAAATCAATAACAAAAATATAGTTTCCAGTGCAAAGGGGAAAGAAAAAAACATGTACGCTTGCTGCGTGGGCTGCTTCTCTAATCATTAAGAATTTGCGAGGCACTGTGGGCGTGCATGTAATTAATAATTAATCGACAAAAGATCCCTTTCACAAAGCCTGCATGGGCTGCTTGTACAAAAAAAAAAAAATTTGAATTAAAAACAACCACGCAAAATGCAGGTGAGCTCCCTGCAGCAAAAAAAAAAAGAGCTCCTTTTTTAAATAAATGAAAATAAATAATAATAATCATACGGTGTTGCATGGGCGCGCGTGGATGTGGAAGTGGGCTGGACAGCTGGGCAGCGGCCGGCTGATTGACTTTGCCGTGACATCTGGGAGGCCCGCTGGCCCCTGGCACGCGTGGAGGCTGATGTCGGCCATTTACATGCAAATTTTGGGCGAGATCATGAAGGGCCTCGCCCCGTAAATTCAACACACACACGCACACACACACAAAGACAGAGGGGTGCATGCGCACGCCACATACACCGGAAGCCCTCATTGGGAGTTTGATTGGATATCAGTGGAGGTCAATAGAAGAGTGGGTGGGAAACACTAGTGAGCGTGACGTGTTTTTTTTTTTTTGTTTTGTTTTTTTTTTCCGCATCTTTCCAACCCCCCCTAAAAAAAAAACATGTTAATATTTACATTTTGGATTTTTGTTGTGCGAAGACCACCACAGTCAAGGGGGCTCAGCTGACGCCCCTCTTTCCCGTCTCTGCACGTCCAGATGGCTGCAGCACACAGATTTGCATTCATTTCCACCGCTAATATGTCCACAACGAGCGGGGCCAGCTGCATTTGTTGTCAAATACGCTTTAAAAAGACGCCGTCGTTATTCCGACACATTGTGTGCGGGCGAGTGTGTGCGCGCGCGTATGTGCGTGTGTGTGGCGGCTCCTCTCCAGTCAACAGTATCTGATCTCTAAAGAGGATTTGCCTTTTAAAGAGAAAGAAAGAAAAAAAACCCGACATAAAAGGGAAGGTTAACTTCTTCATAAGCGAATTGCGCGCAAAATATCGTCCTCATTTTTGCATGCGGTCTTTGACGATTTTAGCGGGCGCAAAGTGTGTGCAAAGCTCAATTTGGCAATAGATTTGCGCGGAGGTGAAAGCAACAGCTTATAATTCACTTATCTTTGGCAGCAGCTATTAACCCTCAGCACCGGCTAGATAGATTGCTCAGGATGGAGCAGTCGGCCCTCCTCCTCCTCCTCCTCCGCCTCCTTCTACTCCTCCTCATCCTCCTTTTCACCACTAATGAAGCGAACTGGTCGGACCGAGGAGCATGCAAGACAGTTCTTCAAGGAAAAAAAAAAAGTAAAAAAAAAAAAAAAAAAAAAGATGATGTGTCTGATGATTATGGATTTTTCGGCACTTGCGTAGTAAAATAAGACGTCATATTATGATAGGGAAGTGTCCTTTTGTCAGAAAAACGATGATGGTACTTTACACAAAACCGCAATTTAAATTTGTGGTATTATTTATCCGCCCCCCTTCTGCTTGCACGTGATGCCGATTAAAATAAATTAAAAAAAAACAAAACAAAATAAAACTCACCACATTGGAGGGGCCTACAATGGAAGATGTGGTGAAAAGTGAACGAGGCAAAAAAAAAAAAAAAAAAAAATCTCTCTCCCGCTCCGCTCTTTGGAAACAGGAAGCGTCACGCCTCCGTATATGGTCAAAGCCCCGCCCATTCAGCGCGTCATCCCGTGACGGCTCCTCTCCCGTGGGTTTAGAGTTTTGGCTCCCGGGAAAGAGTGCAGTCCTCGGGGGAAGAGGGCTTAGTTTTGCATGTTCCCATCCAGCGTGCGCCACGCCGCCGCCACGCCAACGGGGCCCCTCGTCTCCTCCACCAGCGACGCCACTTGCACATCTCGCGCGTAGCGTGGAACACCTTCCACTGGCGAGCAGTGTTTGGAGTGTTTTTTCCCCTCCACCGCCGCGAGTGGGGCTTTCTATTTTTTTTTTTTTTTTTTTTTCTTTTTTTTTGCGTGGAGGAATAAAAATGATTGTGTTCGTGGGTGATGCTGCTCTCAAAGTGGACACATCCCCGAAGCACCGGCGTCCAAAACCTTCAGGACTTGACGAGAGGAAAAAAAAAAAATTACAAAAAAAAAAAAAAAAAAATTTTTTTTTTTTTTTTTTTTTCTTTTTTTTTGCGTGGAGGAATAAAAATGATTGTGTTCGTGGGTGATGCTGCTCTCAAAGTGGACACATCCCCGAAGCACCGGCGTCCAAAACCTTCAGGACTTGACGAGAGGAAAAAAAAAAAATTACAAAAAAAAAAAAAAAAAAATTTTTTTTTTTTTTTTTTTTTCTTTTTTTTTGCGTGGAGGAATAAAAATGATTGTGTTCGTGGGTGATGCTGCTCTCAAAGTGGACACATCCCCGAAGCACCGGCGTCCAAAACCTTCAGGACTTGACGAGAGGAAAAAAAAAAAATTACAAAAAAAAAAAAAAAAAAATTTTTTTTTTTTTTTTTTTTTCTTTTTTTTTGCGTGGAGGAATAAAAATGATTGTGTTCGTGGGTGATGCTGCTCTCAAAGTGGACACATCCCCGAAGCACCGGCGTCCAAAACCTTCAGGACTTGACGAGAGGAAAAAAAAAAAATTACAAAAAAAAAAAAAAAAAAATTTTTTTTTTTTTTTTTTTTTCTTTTTTTTTGCGTGGAGGAATAAAAATGATTGTGTTCGTGGGTGATGCTGCTCTCAAAGTGGACACATCCCCGAAGCACCGGCGTCCAAAACCTTCAGGACTTGACGAGAGGAAAAAAAAAAAATTACAAAAAAAAAAAAAAAAAAATTTTTTTTTTTTTTTTTTTTATTTTTTTTTTTTTTTTTTTGTAATTTTTTTTTTTTTCCTCTCGTCAAGTCCTGAAGGTTTTGGACGCCGGTGCTTCGGGGATGTGTCCACTTTGAGAGCAGCATCACCCACGAACACAATCATTTTTATTCCTCCACGCAAAAAAAAAAAGAAAAAAAAAAGAAAATAATAATATCGCTTTTTTTTTACGCTCGTGTGTGTGGATATCTCTCTTAACCCACTCGAGCACTTTTGAGAATTGTTCACAGCGGACGGAGAGAAGAGGGAGAGCGGACCTGTGTGGACTTTTGGACGGATAAGCCAACACGCGTGGCGTGGACCCTTATTTCCCCCCAGTCCCACCACCGCCGCCTATTTTTTTTTTATTTTTTAATCTTTCCCACCCCACGCAGGAGGCTCGATGTTTGGGATTCAGGAGACGATACCGCGGGGCGGCACGACCATGAAGGAGGAACCGCTCGGCGGGCTCAACTCGGTGCGCTCGTGGATGCACACGGCCGGGGTCGTGGACGCCAACACGGCAGCGCAAAGGTACCGCGGGTCATCCCCTTCCCGTTGAAACAAAAAAATAAAATAAAAAAATATAAATCCGAGTGGAACTTGAATCTCGGCAACTGGACTCTTTTTGTTCGTGGGAGACGTCTTCCACGACCGGAAAAGAATCCAAATGCCGAGATGGCAAGTTTGAGGAACCGGAGCGACCGCCCCCCCACCCCACTGTGTCCTTGTTGTTCACCCCGCAGTGGAGTCGGCCTGGCCCGGGCGCACTACGAGAAGCAGCCCCCGTCCAACCTCAGAAAGTCCAATTTCTTCCACTTCGTGCTCGCCTTGTACGACAGGCAGGGGCAGCCTGTGGAAATCGAGAGGACGGCTTTTGTCGACTTTGTGGAGAAAGAAAAAGTAAGCGCAAACCCCATCCCAATTCATTCCACCCCTTCCAAAAAAAAAAAAAAACCCTAAGAAAAAAAAATCCAAATATTTTTTATTTATTGCTTTACTGATTCCCCCCCCCCCCACTTGCAGGAGCCAACCAGTGAAAAAACCAACAATGGGATACATTACAAACTACAGTTATTGTACAGTAACGGTGAGTCGACTCAATCTCAAAACAACCGAGTTGTCATTTCTAATGATAATAATATCTGTTTTATTGATATCCAATCAATTTCCTGTGTTCTTCTAGGCGTCAGAACAGAACAGGATCTTTACATTCGGCTAATCGATTCCATGACGAAGCAGGTAAGTTGCATGGGTGAAAACGCGCGCACGTGTGTGCTTGGGAGAGGGGGGAAAAAAACCTAAACAAAAAAAAAAAAAAAAAAAAAGCCGCCCCATAATAATAATAATGATAACAACAATAATAAAGACTCAATATAAGATGCAACGTGAGAAGTTAAAAGCCTTGCGAGACTCACTTTGTCCCAACATTAAAAATTCAAACACGTCTGCCGATCGCGTTTCTCGCAAAGGCTGAGAGGTGAAAACTATGTCAGCAAATAAGAGGAAGAAATAAATGCAGCCCATCTTCTATTCAGCACGTGCTCGCTTTATTATGATTATTATTTTTTTAAAGCACAAATGCATGCCGCCTATTTGGAAGCCAAATTAAGACGTTGATATTTTGGTTATTGTTATTCCTATTTTTTTTTTCCTTGAATTAAAGAAGTAGCGCCGTGCCGGCAAAGCGCTCACACACACTCGCACACGCGCACACACACGTATACTTCACACACGCGCGCGCACACACACACTCACACACATTCCTGCGCCAATGATCCGAGTCAATGACGCAGAACAAGCAATTTATGGATTTCGGTTGCCTCGGCTGCAAAATGGCCACATCAATCAAAAGCAATAGGGTTACGGAAACATGTTCAAATAAAATTAAACAAATGGGGGGGGAGTTTGACAGGGGGGGGGGGGGGGGGGGGGAAGAAAAAAAATCAATTCTGATATGTCACCCTCCCCACCCCTCACCACGTTTTTGGGGACAAAAATGAAAACAGCAGCAAGAAAATGCCGACCCTTAACGGCCGCAAATTGTTCTTTTAGCCTTCTTGACTTTTTTTTTTTAATTCTAAAAAAAAAAAAAAAAATGCCGTCGGAGGATATAAGGAGAGCTGAGTCTCCTTAGAAACGGCAAGGATGAGGATGGGGATGAGGAGGAGGGATGGAGGGCGGCAGAAGTGATCGCTCCACGCCATCTGTTTCAGCCAATGCTCAAAAATTACTCGAGCGTACCCCGCCAGACAGCCGCGCGTTTTATCCACAGAAAAGATCATTGTTAGCGGCTCCAAAAATAAACAACAGATTGCCCATTAACACTTTCCCCCAAATATCCCCAGATTATAAGCATATTGATGACACTTCTATTGGAGCGAAAATGCCCCCCCACCACCACCACCACTACCACCATCATCCCCCCCCCCCTACCCCAACTGTCAGTCTGTCCGTCTTAAGTGGATTAAATGGGAGGGAAAACAATACACGTTGGAATTATTAGTATTTGGTGTTTCATCAATTAGCTTAAAAAAAACGAGACGCCAAAAATGACATTTCAAAAAAAAAATATTAGCCTGATATTAATTGAAAAGAAATATTTTCATACATCCGCCATTTGTGATTGTAAAATGGTCGACGTGATGATGCCACAATTAATGACCAAAAAAAAAACAAAACAAACAAAAAACAATGGACGTGTTTTATATTGACTTGTTCGCTAAATGTTGACATGCTACTTTTCATTTCCAAAGGCCATCGTTTACGAGGGCCAAGACAAGAATCCGGAAATGTGCAGAGTTCTTCTGACCCATGAAATCATGTGCAGGTAAGTCGATGACATTTTTTCTTCTTTTCTTTTTGTTGTTGTTGTTTTATATTTAATTTTTAAAATGCCTTCGTCTGTGACATGTGACTCACAAAGAGTGGGTGGCAAGTTTTAAGCGATAGCCAGACCGTGTTAAACAGAAGATATTATTATTATCATTATTATATGTATATAATTATATATATTTAGAGAGTAATAATTGTTCATCTTTTTTTTTTTTTTTTTTGGAGTGGCGCGCCACATGATCTGAGCTGTCAGCGACGTCGAGCGAGGCTTTTAGCAATTTGCGCACGCATTCGCCTCTCACGTTGCGCTGCCATTCAGGCACCGTCACCGATCACCGAATTAAGATACGCGTCGCTTGACCCCCCCCCCACACCTTCCTCGTTTTATTATTATTGTTGCATTGTTTCGATTGAAAAGGCGCATGCATCAAATGGTCTTTTTAACACCCCCACCCCTCTTCTCCGCCTCCTCTTGCGTAAACTCATCACTCACCATCAATTTGCATGCGCATCCATCACTTTGTTTTGTCACCCTCAGAATACGCCGCGTGGACATAACATTAGGCACACCTGAGATCCGACACACGTGCTCAAATGAACCAAAAATAATAATGATAATAATAATAATAATAATATAAAAACGCTGTGCACCGCATCACACTGAGAGCTGTTCCTAATATTTGGCTTGCTATTCGAGATCACCGGGCATGACCTGGAATCCCCTTGAGAGTAGTTACATTACGATTATATACGGCATAGGGGCTCATGTTTATTATTGTAATTTACATTGGGAATCCAAACGCCTCATGCTCGGAGCTGTTTCTAATATTTTGCTTTGTTTCTTTCATTTAAATTTTTTTTTTTATTGATCAATCAAATCCAGATGACGACGACTGTCATATTAGTGAAAGTAGTTCTATGACTATCAGGACACTAAGTAGAATTATGTTTATGATCAGAGTTGCAGAAATGCAGTCGCACGTCATGCTGCGAGCTGTTCCTAATATTTTCCTTGTTAATATTAACAACTGCATATGGCCAGTAAAGCAGTTACATCTCCATGATATACTGATTATAGAAGTGTATTGCTGTTCCTATTTTTTTTTTGGGCTGCCTATTGTGATTTTAAACAAGTGCAGTATTTGACCAATACTCCATTGGAGAGTATTACTTTTCTATATCGAGTATCCAGAAATATGCTTCTTATTGTAGCCTGTACTGATTGTAGAAGTGTATGGTTGTTCCTAATATTTTGGCTGTCGCTTGTGACTAATATTGCCCTCGATTATTGTAAGTAAGAGTGTTTACGGTGCTCCGTTGAAAGAGACGTGACGTTGCGATTACACACGGGCTCCAAAAAGCCTTTCGATGGTTGTCACGCTTGCTTCTGATTGTCACCACGTTGAAGAAGTTGCCCGTCATTTGTGGCCGCGCCGCTATGGGCGTTCGTTGCAACCGGGATGAGAGCTGTTCCTAATATTCTGCCTTGCACTACTTTATCGTTAACGCGACGGGCAACTCGATGACCTTTGAGTGCAATGCTGACTTTTGATGGCACAATCTGTTCGGCGCTGTCATTTCAGCGGTTTCTGGGAACCAATTGCGTCACGCCGAGAGTCGTCCCTAATATTTGGGCTGCCGATTAGGATTTACATATACTTGCAATAGTATTGCTATTCATAATGACCCGAGCGCACACCTCCCCTGAAAGTCAGCGGACATAACGCTCCCTTTGATCTGTTTCATAAATTTACGTTGGGGGTTTGCTTGTGCTGAGAGTTGCTCCTCATACGTCGGCTTTATGTTATGACTCGTATTGCTTTTGCGGTTCTTGTGAGCACTAATTGGTGTTAGATAGTGTTATCTACTTGCTTGTAAAATACTGTAAGAACGGCAGTAAAACAGCCTAATTGCCCTTGTTGCTGGACTGAAGAAAAGAGTGCTGTTGTCACAAAAAAAAAAAAAAAAAAAAGTGAATTGACTATTCCACACATCCGCTTCACCTCGACTTCATTTCACAGCACAGCGTTTCCCCTCACGGTCGCTTTCAGCGGTGTAGACAAGCACCCAAGACTTGTTTGTGACACGCATCGATTCATGCTGAGAGCTGTTCCTAATGTTTAGGCCACACGTAATTCTTGCTCTTAATCACGATACGACCCGGGGAATGCCGCGGATGGTGAAGTTTTGAATCGGCAGGGGCGCCTTTTGACGGACGCTGTCACCGTATGTGTATTATGGCAGTTTGTAGTGTTTGTGCTAAATGATATTGATCAGATGTGAATTAGTTTGACTGTTAGGAGTGCCTTGAATTATTCTTCGAGTTGCTCCTAATATTTCCGAGACACTATTCCACGTTTGCATTGCTTTTCCCCCCCATCGTCGTTTTTGTTCATATCAAAGTTGAATTGGTATGATACCGAGTAGGTACGAACGCAAAGATTCTAGTGGTGCGCGCGGTGCACAAGTGGAGCGCTCGCGACCGAGAGGAGTTTTCGAGAAGGGGCTCTGAGGGCGAGGGGCGTCGCTATCCGCGCGGCTTCACATTATGACCGCTCGGATGACTCCTGTCGGCGACGGCGGTTAAGGCACACCTGCACAAAAGGCCCGGCAAGGAGGATCGTGCTCAATTTGTCAAGCGACCTCCGTGCGATATTTTTCCCGCGAGATGAAAGGCGAGAGGTGACGCCGCAGGCGTGGCTTTGTCATGATCGTTACGAGGGCTACTCGAGGGCCTTTTTTCGACAGATAACTTTTGAGTGACGCTGAATTGAATTGAATAACGTGCGCGTTACAGGGGCCGCAATATAATAAAACAATGTGATGAAATGAAAAAGATTGTTGGAGGAAAATCTCCTCGATGAGCTTGTTTGTCTTTTCACGGCACAAGTTTGCACTTGTGGTTTGGTTGTGCAATGTAATGTCAAGAAAGTGGCCAGTGAAAGATTAAAAATATTTTTTTCTGGTCATGGAAAAAAAAAAAGTGTGAACAGATCATGAAAAGATAAGAGTGAGGTGACCTCTAACCCCCAGCCCTCAAATCATAGATCACATTTTATTTTTAAATTTTGGGCTGCGGAAATAATAATAAGTTAAGCGTGATTATTGCTGCAGTAAATCAGACATTTTATTATTTTTTTTTTGGTCCTTTTCTAAAGCTGAGTGAGCTCGACCGACAGTATCTTTGCACAAATCTTTGTTTGGCTTCCTGCACCATATGGCGCAAATCAATCTGATTCTCATGAGTTTTCATTTCAAATGGAAGCCCGGATGATGAATTTGTTTATTTCAGTTTTTTTTTTTTTTGGCTTCTAATTCATGTTCAAATCAAAGGATGTGAAAGTCAGCTAGCTGCAAGCTCTGGATTGGCGTGGTAGAAAGAGGGCTGGGGGACGGGGGGGTTGTGGGTGGGGTGGGGTGGTGTTGGTCGGTTGCTGTTTGCGCCTGAAACATGTGGTGGAAGATAGATTAGTGCTTTTGAGGCCATAATTGATAAATGCCTCGCAGAAATATTGGTTGAGGGTGGCACCTTGCATCTCCCTCAGAAATAGCAGCTTGGCAATTAGAGGTAAACAAAAGCTGAAGCTGTGAAAAGTGACTCCCCTGCTTCCAACTCTCCCCCCCCCTCCCTGCTCCCCCCCGTGCCTCCCCTCCCCTGCAATGCTATAAGCCAAAGAACACAACATGTTGTTTTCCACATTTTTTAAAAATCTATCAGCATCAATGCAAACAGTCGAGCTAGCCTCATGCATGGTAGCCACTCGATAAAACGCACGCTGGGCGTGGGGAGCTTGTGCTGCTTCTAAAAGCGAGCGGGACAAAAAGTCTTTTTCGCAAGTTAGTAGAAGGGGGGAGGGGGTTAGGGGGTGGGTGGTGGCAAGGATCATTTTTAAGCGTAGATTTTTGTGTTCGCTAGTAGCCCTAATGAATGTTGCTAAAAGTGCTTTCAACGCAGCAATGCGGGGAGGATGTGACGTCACACAAAATGGATTTTCTACAAGTAAGCCGTATACATAATATCGAGGCAATTTCAAGAATTGTTTTTTTTTAAAAAATATGTATACTATTTAGAATTCCCTTCATTTCGTGATAGCCTCTTTTCACACGGAGACCCTGCATACGTGCTGCCCCCACAAGGACCATACGAGCACGCCTGTTCTCAAAGTAGCTCACCGGTGAAGTCATCATTTGAAAAATGGGAATATTTATAAATTGAGTGGACTCCAAAATTTCAAGGCAACAAATCGGTAATATTTTACACTGTTTCACGCACCCTGTAACCTGATAACACGACAAGCCGTCCACTGGCGTGACCGCTGTCCCTTGAAAGGGTTACGTTCAATTCAACCAAATATTTTGCGTTTTTGCTGATAGGAAAATTGCTTTCCCGCATTGTCAATAAGGAGAAAAAAAACTAACTGTCGTCTTGATTGTCACTCGACTTCAAGACGGAAGTAAAAACAAAACGCTTTGTTGCACTAGCTAACATTGTTGCCATGAATGTCAATCGTTTCGACTTGAACCTTGTTCCAACTGACATGATGGTTTTCCCCGCGCCCCAAAATGCCACTTTCGTTTTTTTTTACCATGAGATAATTTAAGGTAATTTATGCCAGTTTGTTATTTCAGAAGTGCGTATGAATTTTTTAGAAATTCAGTCCCCAAGAAGTTGACCTCACTTTGAAAAATGTCGGCGAGCCCTGCTCGTGACGAACGGCGGAGACGAGATATTTCTGTAACCCTCAGCACTTTTAAACACCCTGCAATTTTTTTTTGTATTTATTTTGCGTAATTTAGTGGCACCATCAAATCTCTGCGCAAATCTTGAATGAATTTGCATATTTTTAATTTCCTCCATGTCCCTCAATCAACTCTTTGACACAGAGATCTTGCAAAATTCAGAGTTCGTATTTCATTCCGCCTAGCAGAGGCGGTATTGATGCTTTGCATTTTTTTTTTAAATCAACAATGTCTTACCGTAATGCCTTCGCATGTGGGCAAGGAGAGCTACCGTTGCTGAGGCACTCTTCCGCCTTAACTGAACACCGCGAGAGCAGAAAAACAAAAACACAACCAGCTCACTGATGCAGAAGCTGCTGTCGACCGCAGTTCTCACCCGGACGCTCACGCGCACTAACTGCACGTGAATGTCGGAAATTTTCGTTTTATTTTATGAATGCAATTTGTTGTTTTGAGATATTGTTGAAAAGTGTGGACTTTAAGAAGTTGAAAAAAATGTTTAAAATAAACTGCGGATGTGCACCAGCTACGGGTGCATCTGGAAAGTCTCACCTCGGATAAACGTAAAGCTGTAAAATTCCACGTTACAGCCGAAAATCCCCCCCGATGCCACCTTTTACAATTTGGTGCTCTTGCAAGCAAGCATTGCCGCGCCTTGTGGTTGTTCCTCGACCATTCTGACCCGTCCCCGTCTGTGTCCCGACAGCCGATGCTGCGACAAGAAAAGCTGCGGGAACAGGAACGAGACCCCGTCAGACCCGGTGATCATCGACAGGTAAGACCCCCGGGTAGCTTTCTCTCATTAGGAGGGTGTGGGGGGCTGTGTGGGGGAGTCAAACGAGCGACTAAACGGCTGCGGGGATGAGAGCCGGCGAACAAACGAGCTTCCTTCCCCTCCCTTGGCGCTGCCAGACGGCACCCGCTCGGGCTGACTCGTATCTTACGAGCAGGGGAGGCGGGGTGGGGGGGGGCGTGGGAGTGGCTGAGGGGGGTCTTTCCCAGCTACCTGTGCGCTGAGG